AGTCTTTACATCAGTGCAAAAAAAGAGATGTGTATAGAATTATAAGCATGCCTTGGATGGAAACAGACAGAACGAAGGTTATCTTGAGGTCAGAGGCAACTGATCTGGCAAAGAATCCGACAAACTGCCACTCGAGTTTGCTTTCCTTTCTCTGCTACTTTCTTTTTTGTTTTTTCCAAATGCTTTGATTCGCTCTACCCTTTCCTTTGGTGAAGTCCATTGGATGGCAACCGAGTAGGCCTAATTGATTTCTCTTGTTCACGTTGGTTAGAGGCAGCAGCATCGAACTGTGCAGAGTACTCTGGCTCCAGCTTGCCTGCATTATTCCTTTCTGTTTTCTACTTTGCCTCCATATCCCAGTAGACTATAATGCCAATACTCAACATTCCAGTGGCTCTGAAATCTTTAAGGGCACCAAATAGTGGAGGAATGCTACAGCAACACCTTGTATCAAGATAAAATATCAAGACCGTGGTGCTGTACATGTGGCTTACAAAAAGGTCAAATTGTAAGATCACTTTGGCATTTGCTCTTTAGAAACTGCAGCAAGTCATTATCTAAGCTAGCACCTATAGCATTGAAAGAAGAACTAAGCTATGCTAACACACAAGAGATGCAGGTGATATCATGAATCCCTGTGTAACCTGTAATTCAAAACAGCAAAACTGCAGTAAGTAGGCAATTTGTAGATTGTAAATATTCACATTTTGTTTGGGAGTTTCACTTCTGATCAACAGTAAAACTCTGGTCTGTGTTTCTGTTTTAGTGGACTGTATTATACTTTATTAAGGTTCATGATATTGTGTCCAGCCTGCTGTAAGTTATTAGTTCAGGCAGGGATTCGGACTGAGGGCAGCGCATCCACTACCTTCTTTTCTTGCCTTTGTCTTTAGTCAGTATCCATCAGTTTGACTTCCTGTCATATCAGAGCAGAGAGAGAGCTTCTTTTTTTATTGCTTGTTTTTCCAAGTTGAACTGCACCATACAGACAATTTTTCATTAAGCAAAAATAGCGGAGAAGGGAAACATCAACCACAGCTTTTACTGTGGGGATGAATTTCAAATCATGCATTGCTGAGAGATCCTGCTATTGTAAGAGGAAGTTAGGTTATGGAAAATAATGGATTACTATAAAGTGCAGCATTATGTTTGGCCACTTTATCATGGGCTTAAGTTTAAGGCAGCCAAGCACAAACAAAAAACAGCTCAAATTAACTAAACAATATCTCGGTGATACCATTTCCGCTACTGAATTTCATGTTAATGAACAGTACACTCAGCAAAGCTCGTGCACAGTAGACCCAACAGCCTGTAATTCATTCAGCTGCCATGGCAACATATTTAAGTTTTACAGGATTTAATTTGTTTAGGTCAGGAAATATTGCCTTTGCCCTGACGTCTTTGTTTGAAACCTGTGCAGAGTTAGAAGCTGTTTAAACTGCATGGGTGCTATTCATGGAATATTGTCACACTTTGTCCTTCATAGTGATAAAAGTAAATGACTGTCATTCTGGCAAAAGTAGGAAAACATGTTTCCAATATAGACCATTGAAAACTAAATTCAGCTGACTAAACATTTTTGTTGGCCTGTTATGTGATCAACCTGCACACATTGATCAGAGCTCTGCGTTCTATCCCAGAGGAAGTGCAGTAAATATCAGTTGTGTTGATAGTCAGCTCTCTTTTGACAAAAAAAAGTACATTTCAACTGTGTCACATACGTTTCTCCCTTGAGTATATCCTGATGATGTGTAGTAATTGTAGTCACTAATTACCATCTTAAGAATCAGCTTTGGGTTTTCAAATAAACTGTGACCAGAGTGAAAAATGAAAAGTACTGTACAACATGAGCTGTATGCAATAGCTTACCTTTATCCAGTATACATCAGTGCTACAGTATTAAGCCTGGTGTATGTGATACAGCGATGGGCTAAAGCTGTTGATGAGTGTCTGATTTATGAGTGGAGCCAAGTACCTTGAGAGGGTTTCATCACATGCTGCATTTTCCAATCAACAGCTAAGAAAAAGACATTGAAATGGTGTTTGTGTGTGTCAGCCTGCATATACATGTGCATCCATATGCACATGTGTTGGTGTTGAAGTTCAGTTAATCACAGACTGCTTCTCGTATGCAGTGAAATGGCTGATTAATATTCCCTCCTGATACACACGTACTGTTTTTATTGGCAGACACCAGAATAACCACATCTGAGGTTATGTGACAAACATGTTTATGCAGCTTTCTGACAAGTGGTTTGTATTGTCATACTGTCTGAGAATCAGAATGAGTTGGGATCTTGTGCCACACAGCTGAAGGTGTTGTTAAATATAGCGGTGTCAGAACATCTAGTCTGTGTCCACGTAGGGACGCTGGCACCCTTATTGAGTGAGAGGCTCACTCTGCAAGAGATGAAAAACTTTGGCAGCTAAAGTATTAGCTAACACAAAATGAAGCCCATCTCATTCGAGAGCTTTAAAATGTGGAGAGATAGATAAATAAAACATTGCCACCATGAGAGGAGAGGCAGTGTGACAGCGGGATATTTTTTTTCTCCTTTCATGTTGGCAGGCACAAACATTTTATTTTGGGATGAATCAAAATTTCCTGAAAACGTCTGCACCAGGTGTATCTAATTATCTGACAGCGCAGCCTCATTATAAAACGGCCCCTGGGAGTTAGCAGCTCAGCTTGCTGAGCCTTGGACCACAATCAAGGCGTTCCTTACAGTAAAGACAGGGATGATGTTGCTGCTGCTCTTCCATATGTGCACTGCTCACCTTTTTGTTCTGAGATTCGGGCTGTACACCAATAATGCACACCTCTGTTTTCCTTATAAATGATTATACATTTGAAAATATAGTGGCTGTACCCAGTGCAACACATCTATACAGTAAGACGGTGTAAAATAAGTGCAATGCAAAAGAAACAACACAGCCATAAATTTATTAGCAGCTGTTAGGACAGCCCCTTGCTATCTCTGCCATGCCCCAGTTATGTCACCTGGATGAAATTTATAAACTATAATTACAGCTTACTCCTGTTTCTCTCCAGGGAGATGCAGCAGCCAGAAGTAAATTGGGCATACACAGACACACTAGTGCAATCTATGTTAAGGCATAATTAATGAGAGAAAACAGTTTGCAGAAATACACATATCTAACAGGCCATGCGATCTGTGGCTCTTAGGGTCACTTTGAAGGAGCTTGTGCGACTGTGAGCAAGCAGACCCGTCTCTCTGGCTTTCTATGTCTATCTGTTCACATGCCATACAGCAGTGACTGATGCGAGCCTGGTGGGTAGTTGTAGGAGTATCACTTAAAGGGAAAACGGAGGAAAATTGCAGAATATTGCAAGTTTGTAAAACTGGAGTGGAGCTGGGTAAAGGATGGCAGGTGACATTCTTACCTGGGACTAATCCACGAAGGCTTAGGAAGAAATCTACTGCCTGACAGCAAATGATTCAAGTCCACTTTTGTGCTCAAAACTGTCTTGAAAAACAGGGATAGCTGGTCTGAAGGAGTGCTGTACTTCACAGTTTGTCATGTTCCAATGTGTTGTGCAAGGAGGAGGATGTGCATTTGTCTTCTTTTGGATTAGGTTCAACCTTTGTACTGGTAGTATTTGTGTATATATTCAGACAGTAGATTCACAGGCTTGTGTGTTTTAAATAATGCCCAAGGTGTTTCTATATTCCTCAATGCCTTCTAATTACAGCGAATAAATGCAAGCACAGATACACATGGATGAATGCATAATGAAAATCATGCCTAATAAGCTCAGCATCAGCTCAACCCCCAGAGTGACATTAGTGAAGTGATGCTGAATCCAGCTAAAAACGAATTAAAGTCCATCATTGAGCTATACCAGGGTGTTCTTAGGTGTTAAATTCCAAGTGCCATCATGTCACTGTGTACTGCTGTGTGTGTGTGTCATGTAATTCGCTTTGAAATGCAGCTGTATCTCTTGCCCTGCCTCATGCCTGGCAAATTGTAACGCTGTTACCTCATCTCAGTGGTCATGCTCACTTAGCCCACGGTCACTCCAGCCAGGGAAGACAACTGTCTGTGAACTGTCCTTACCCTAATTTGCGATTGCTTCTCCGCAGCTTGGTGTGCTACAAGATACTGAAGGACAAACTTTTCAGCTCATTATCTTGCTTTTTAGAGGGTTTTCTGCCTTTTTTTTTTTCTGGGGCTGCAAAGTATGACTGCAAATCACTGGTAACTGGCTATATGTGGAAAAACTTGTCAGTAGTACTCTGCCAAATCCCTTTAAGAGAGAGATGAGATTGTATAAATGGTTGAATTTGGTCACTTCAAAATGCAGCAGGAAGCGACAGAGGAGGAAAAACACGGGCCTGGACTGACACACCACTGGACCATGATCCACTGTCAGTCACCTTTCAAACTGGACATCTAAGCTTTGGTTGGTCACAGCCCACCCGCCGTGTGCATCACCTGAGTCTGGAGCCGTTTCGCACGCACACCCACACGGGCGCGCACGTGCACGTAGAGACAAGCTATCCATATTCATTCATTTGCCAGAATCATACATTTAACCAAACTTTCCCAACACGTCCCACAACCAACACGCGCAGTAGCCCACAATTAAACTTGTTAGTGCGGGCTTCTGCATTCTCTGTATGCTTGACAGAGGGGGCAGACCGTGGTTTGGGGCAGATGTCAGATGTCTCAGATCTTTGAGCCCAGTGTATGTTGTGAATTGCGATAAATCAGCTAATGTTTCGCTACCATCTGGAGTGAAACGGCGAGCAGCGGAAAGGTGCGAGTTGTGCGCTACATTATCCATAATGCAGCTCCAAGTTATGCAAAAATATGCGCCCTGGGCACCCACTGTAGGCTGCTTACATCGCGGCACGACACAGAACTTCGAGTAGAAACCTAAGGGACACTTAATTCCACACGCACAAAAACCAAGACGAGCTGCTTTCAGCAGCAAATCACACAAACAGAAGAAGCAGAAAAGTCTGTACACTTACTATAAACCCAGGCGGCAGGAGGCGAAGCCCCGGGAACTGTAATTAAAATAGAAGAATAGAAAATGAAGGATACGTTTGTTGAAATCTTCCTTAAGATAAACTCGCGCTGCATTATATAAGCTTTTTCATATCAAAATGTCCACTCACCGAGGCGGTCCGAATAAATCCCCTAGGAAATTCCGGAGGAGTCCCTTCTTTCTTCTCTCAAAGTCAGAAAACAGCAATGCCTTTCTTATTCCAAAAAACAGGCCCTGGTTGAACTGAAAGAGAGAAGAGACCAAAACAGCCACAACAAATTCCATTAGAACCGGGAGTCCACCCAGCACCACCCAAAAAAGTGTTGACATAACATCTGTGAGGAGCAGCAAACAAAAAAGGCAACTCGGAATAAATTGGCGGAATGGACAGAGGTACCTGCTCTCTTTATCACTGTCGACAAAGACAACAAGACGGCCAGAAAACTGAGAGAGCGGAGCTTTTCTCGGGGAACGCAGCCCCTGCGTGCTGTCAGATGATAGCAGCACACACACACACTCACTCCTGCTCCCGGAGACGGCTGGAGAGAGAGGGAGGAGAGGAGGAGAGGAGGAGAGGAGACACGGCATGCTGCGCTCACAAGTGCAGTTCTCGGTGCAGCCGCTGGATGGCCAGCAAGAAGAGCTGACCCCGGGATGTTCCCACCGTGCCAAAGTTAACAGGCACCAAGTCCTTCACGGAGATGCTGGAGACCGACATCCTCATCCAAGTTATTAATCAGTCGTAATGTTCAAAATATTATCCGAGTTGTTACCAGTATTCATTATTGGCTGCAGCGTGAAGTTTGCACGTTGCAGATTTGTTCCGAGGTACAAATGTGAGGTACTTCTATTTTACTTAAGTTTTTCCTTTTTATTTCTAGTTGATCACATTTCAGAGGCAAATAATTTACTGTGTATTTCGTTATTTATTTGACATGTTCAGTTACATTAATTTAAAATTTAGCTCAACCATGAACAAAAACTGTAAAATGGTATGTCTGCGTTTTTTTTTTCCAGTAATAATAAAAATCCAATAATATAAGCCACTTTAGTGTAACATGTAAATGGAATTATCAATGCAGGACTTAGGCTATAACTGAGTGGCTGTTTTTATTGTAGTATTACAACTTTATTTAATAATCTAAAAACTTTACTCCAGAGAATATAACAAGAGCTCATGTGGCGTTCTAGGTCTCACTGTAAAGCTTGGGAATCGTTGGTGCCCGTTGGTGATTTGGCTTTTCACAGAATAAAAAGCTCAGGTTTAACATCTACAGTGTCCCAGTTCTACCAAGTGTCCCCTATAAGCCAGCACAACCTGACTCCATGAGATGAAATGCTGCCTTCAATAATGTTATTACAGTCATTTCTCTTGTGTGTCGCTTGTTAAAATGTTTGTTGTGCTTCCTAAAAACTGAGGTTAATGCTTTGTGCGCATTGTATGACACTGGCTAATGTGACACAAGTGCGGCTTGGCCCATCAGCTGTGGGATGTTAGGATCACTGGCAGGGGATGCAAGCCCATGGCACCTGGGGGCCTGGGCGGGGCCCTCAGGAGGATGTGATCATTCAAATAAAGTAAATGAACATTAGCAATGTTAAGTCAGTTGAGACAAACTACGTGCTACTATTAAGGTTGTCCCAATATTAATAGAGTCAGCCAGGGGTTGAGAAGATGTGTAAAGTGTGTTGTGTATTTGTAGTAGAATGTTTCAATACATATTTAGAAATATGTAATGTGGAAAATACACAGTTTGGATAGTTTATAAGCTCATTATTGTACAGACATGGCCTCTCTATCAGGCCTGCCTGGCCACTGTGACTGCTAAGTAACAAGTACAGATCTTGCTCTGCTGATTGGGCCACAGACGGCTGTCAAATCAGAAAACAGGTTATTGGACTTTTGAGAAACTTTATAATTAAAGGAGTCAACAGGGCTTCACAGATTACCAGAAAGTGCCACACCATTTGTTTTGTAGCCTAAGTTTTTAAATGTGCATTGGCTGACTCCAGGGTGGCTTATTCTGACTTAATCAGATCTGGATTTAAATAAAGGAGTGGATTATGCAGTCCAGAAATGAATGTGATTTATAGCAAGGCAGCTTACTCTGTAAATGTTTTTGGCAGTTTTCATTTGACATGTATATGTGGTCAATAGTTCTGTGGGCCCTAGTGCTTTGCTTATTGATAGGAAACTCACTTGAAGCTTAAAATCTAGGATAGTACAGTATTTTCACTTCTCAGATGAAAGATTGGAGATAAAATAATGTAAAGGGCTCAGTGGAAAAAATATCATTTATTGGAAGTTCTTAGGTTAGTTACTTTCTGTCATGTTTTAGACATAATTCAGATCTGGGACAGGTTTGGAACTGGATCAATACAGAGTACAGAAAGATGTATTGATGACTAGCATGAGCAAACAGTCGGACATCCATTAATGTTGCACAGAGCTCCAGCTGTACATGTAATTGTGCTGTTTTGGCGCAGGAGCAGCTGTCCACTGAGAGACGGCTCCAATAGGGAAAAAAGAGGAACTGAACAGCAGACAGTGCTTCCCCTAGGAAAAACAAGATTATGGGGGTTATTTATTTCTGGACTGAACTTCCTTACACAAAAACATTTACAGTGTGCATGTATGCTTAGCTTTGCCATTTTATCGCATGCCCTTTTGAGCTTAGGCAATTTAGGCCTTAGATGTCAGCAAAGACATTCCCTGGTAATCTTGTGCATGTGCTGGAGGAGCCTGCTGAGTTGAGCATATTTTAATAGCTTTATTATTCAAATGTAGGCTGTTTAGGCTAACTCTGATAGCAGAAGTAAAATCCTGGTTTCTTAAAAAAACAGCACACACTTGATTATACTAGGAGTATTATTAGATCCCAAAGAAAAAGTAACTGAGTGCAAACTCTTTGCAGAAAACAGAGCTGCTTTTTGGTCCAGCACAACACATGTAAATAATGCAGTGATGTTATTATGTTGGGGTTCAGGTGTTTTGGAGACAGACAAAGGTAGGTTGGCTTATGAAAGAAGCTGCAGAGATTCTGAGTAGTCGAGGTTTACAGTTAGACTACACGTGGACATATGCATGTTAATTACATCCAGATGACAAATGATTTGTAGATTCAGTGCACCTTTGCATAGACATCACTAATCATAATCAGTGAAACCTACTGAAAGTAAATGACATTGAAGACCTGATTTTAAAACAATAGAGGAACTTAGTGAGGATGAACAAAATGGATTTCCACTATTTCAGCCTTGCTTTAACTCAGTATTAGATTGGGCAAAATATGTAGATGGAATTCTGCCAAGTATGGAATATAAATAAAAGTTGAGTGGGTGAAGCTGTGCTCAGTGCTTTGTATCTGATATTCACTTTGGTTCCCACAGAAGTAAGGTGATATTTATGAGTCAGTATATTATTCTGGGAGACAGGACTTATTTCGAACATTCTCTTGCTCATACCTGTTTCAAAAAGAGCACTTCCGTGACTTCGTGGCTCTTTAGAACCTCTTGTCATCACAGCTGGATTATAGGACAAAGCTGATTTGCATTTTTTTTTTATTTTTTTGTTTCCATGCATTCATTTGAACATTTTCAATAAGCCATATTCCAGTGTATCATGTGCTCTAATTTGTTCTCAACACTTGTGAATATTTATTGATGTAGCACTGAGATGAGTAAATGTACAGTAAAATGGGTAGAGACTGGGAGGGAGAAGAGAAGAGACAGGGGAGTACACTCACCCCTGTGGTACTATCATTAGCTCTCTTTAGATTTGAGCGCTGACTTCACACCAGCCTTGCCTAAGGTCAGAATGTTGAGAGGAACTTAAAGATCGGTTGGCAATGTGCCACACTAAAGCAGCAGTACAAACGCCTCTATGTTTTTCTCTCTTTTCACAAACAACAAGTTGAACTTGTCTGTCACAAGCAATTATATTGGACTGAAGTTCTGCTGCCCTCAGAAATCACATCTCCTGAGGCTCAGACTGAAAATGATGGGGAACAGCGACAAAATCATTCAAAAGCCTAAGTTGTCAAGCTTGAACATCAGCTTCACGGTGACCTAACCAGAGCTATGCAGCCTCCAGGGCAACTATGCCATAGTGTGAGCTTAGATAAGTGGTCTATAACTTTAAGACGTGCACTGCTGTCCCAGGGCTGAAGTCCTGTGTATGTACATGTAGTCATGGCTGGTGTGGTGAATAAAGTTCCAAGACATTTAAAAAAGTCGTCCGAGCAGTGATATAATTGCATGCTTCGATGTATAGAATTGCAGTTATCATGACCTCTCTGTGAAGTGTAGGAATGTATGGTAATGCTGCAGCTTTGCTTTATTTATGTAAATGAATCACAGTTGGAAAAAATATGAGAGGATGGAGGCTAACTCATAATATACATTGTCCATATATTCTCTGCCAAGCCTCGGTTGTTCTTGGTAAAAGGATCCTGAAGGAATGAGTCAGTGCTGTGACTGATTTTACTTGGAGTGGTATTTTGGGATCATCTTAAAAATTCCTAATGGATCTTTGAAGAACTTCTTCTCCAGGATGCTGTATTTTAGTCAGAAAATTATTGCAAACACAGCAAGAGTCATGATGAACCTAGTGATATTAACATTCTGCAGACACTGTCAGTTAAACAGCAAACGTTTTGCCAGAGGACTGCACACATCTACACCAATTACATAATCAGAGTCTGGGTTTCTGTCACACACTGGATGCCAGTCCCTACTGCAGAGTTTCCATCTGTCTCCTTGACTCATTAAGGGCTGCTTGGTGCACGTTTGGGGAACATGTCCACCCTTAAATGAGCTCTTAGTTGAGAAGGGACTGACAAAGGAAAAGTGTCTTCCAGACCAGTTATTTTTTCATTCATGTGCACGTTCAGCAGTTACATTTGACCAAGCATTGTTAACAGTGGCTTAATGAGATGGAATTACTCATATGCTGTGCCAGGAAATGTTTGCATGCCATGTAACGTAAGCCAAACTGCACAGTGCAAGGAATTCCCAAACCCAAAGACACACAGCCTTTAAATGTTTAAACACTGCAGTTATTTTTGATGTTAATTACATAATGTATGTACTTTATGGATCAAGAGAGCAAGTACACTCAAATTCTTATGTACAGAAAATCAAGATGAGCCTATCTAATGATATGAGGGCTACCCTTAGTAGGGCAGTGTCCATCTGATTACTCATCCACTTTCCTTCAGTGAACAGGCAGTGGATGACTTCTTTCTAGCTTTGCCTTGTTTGCCGCTGTTGCCCTGCACCAGCAGTGCCTCATCTTCTTTGGCACTGAGCACTCCAGTATTGGCTTCTACTGACTGTCTTGCCCTGCCAGTAGCAGTGATTTTACATGCAGGGATTTTCCCCCTGGTGATGCTGCACTGTGAAGATGCTGAGGCGTAGTTTGGTGGCAATGCTTCAAAGCCCTGTTGCTTTGTCTCTGTCTAGACAAACTGCTGTCATTTACCCCTCTGGAGGAGGATGACACTGTGCTGCTGAGCAATGAACATGATACCATGGGT